CCAACCCAATGATCACATCCTCTGGACTGATGTTTGTGACCATAAACACCGTCTTCTCGACATGTTCTCCTATCTGCATCTGTAGCACTGCTACTTTTGAGATGCTTCCGTCTCTGTTCAGGGTGCCGTCGATATTGTATAGCAGAATTGGCTCTTTCAATCTCCGCATCTGCACCTTGTTTTCTGTAATGAATCGCTTGTTAATGAACTTCATGGTGGCTCCGCTGTCCACCATAGCAATTATGTCCTTGTGCCGTCTTTTTCCTTGGAGGCGCACCGGGATGTGAAAATGCTGGGACCCCTGGTCCAATTCGTACACCATTGCAGTTGACAATATGTTATACTTATTACAAGATATACTCAGCCCGATGCATGCGGCACGAAGCGCAGACCAGATCAAAAACCCTCCTCCTTCATTGCCCAATAGTGCTCGAGCTCCTTGCGCATCGACTTCACCTGTGCCATTAAGTCTCCCAGCTCCGATTGCTCGGATTTTGCTGAAGCGGCACTTATACTTGCCGAGGGTGTTGTCATGACGGGGGCACTTGTCGTGGCCTGGGTGGAGCCCGAGGCAACCGTAGCCCGCGCATCGGCGCATTTTGTGTAAGGCTTGTCCTTACAGTTGGGGCACTCAAAGCATCGGTACCCCTGCTTCCCGCAGCCAAAGCAACCACCTGGGAAGTCTCCTTTTCCGATGGCCGCGTTGATGCTGGCCGAAGCTCCTTGTGATGGGGGTGTACCACCACGTACCCCACCGCTGTCACAATGTGCTCTGCCACAGTCCCCTGGTCGGCCTAGGACGATCCCCCGGTGGGGGGAGCCACAACACCATGTGACCACATGGTTGTATCAATTGCGGAGCAATCGGACCAGAGCAGAGCTCCGGCCACACTTCTTTTGTTCCATTGTTCCTGTGGCCAAGTGGCCCTTGTTCTCCTTTTGGACTCTATTGTTCTTTCTTCTATTGTTCTGCCATGGGAATGCTTTCCCCTGCTCATGTATATAAAGACCTGCTGTAGCGTCCTTTAATCCATACTTTTGTGACCCACTTCGACTTCAGCCCCACTTGTGGCATTCAGTCCTTCAGTGCTAGTCTTGTGCAACTGCTCCCTGCGTCGCCTTTTGATAACCACGTCCTTGACCCCGGGCCGAGAAGAAGTTGTTCAGCTCAGGCCAACGGGCCCAGCTGACATCGAGAATCTGTTCGACTGCGGTGGCGTGCGTGTTGGCTTCTTGCCATGTGGCAAACGTCTCAAGCTCGATCTTCTGGTAGACCCGGGAGGGGATGCCACTCAGGTACTTGTCGCGGAGCTCCAGGTTACCATATCCGGAGCAGTCTGCTGGACCCTTGAATAATGCAAGGAATTCGGCGGCAGTGCATTTTTTGTGCATGGTTCTGTCAGCGCAGAGCTTGGTGAGCTCTACTTGTGCGGCGGCGGTGTCGTCAAGATTGCCGAAGCGGGCCTTGAATGCTTTAAGGAAGGCTGCTTCGTCAGTGAAGGGGGTCGCCGTTCCCTAGATCCCAATTTGGATGGAGACAAGCTGGGAGAAGATGGGGGTGGCCCAAGCTCGCGCATCACCATCGAGGAGACTGAGGGCAACCTTGTCACGAGTTGGTACAGCATCTAGCCGTTTTTTAATTTTTTCCTTTTCGCGGGTTCGAACCTGCAACCTCTGTACTATATGCTTGAATGGACAAGTCGTTATCTACTGTACAATCAGATTAGATAGGACAGCAGTGCACGGCACAGCTCGGGCTCCGCTGATACAGCCGCTCTGACTCACCGGCCCCCGGGGTCGTGTTGGCATGCTATGCACAGACCAGCTGCACACGGTCCAGTGCACACAGCCTGCCCTTATCCTCCCCTGTATACAAGCCAGCCTCTGCTGCCCTAGGGACCTCAGTTTCGACCTCTTGTCCCTAGGTCAGTAAGTCTCCCTTGTATTCTTTCCTACCTTACTAATATATTCACTTGTCCCTAGCCTTAGGTTTGAGCCTCGCTCACCATCGTTTCGGTGAGAACCAGTCGAACGCCCCTCGCCTTCAGATATTCCCCTGTCGCTTAACCTCAAGTCGCGACATTAGGTCAAAACTCTCACAAGCGACTGGTGTTCTCTCGGAACTCACTCACTTTACTTCCCCATAGGTCGGGTGGTGCGCACCCATACGGTACATTACGATATGTAGATAGCGTACATACATTGCCAACACTAAAGGAACGAACTCTTCAGTACCTGCACTTTAGTGGGCGGTACTTGTCCTCATGGATGCGTGGCTTAGGTTCCTGCTACATAATAGTCAAAAGCAGTACTGGGCCCCACATGAACTGTGAACCCTAGTGTCTTCTCGGGCACCGTAGTGTAAGCTAGTATAGCACGGCCATTGTAGTACGCACACCTCCCCGTCCTTCCCCCATCCATCGTGGCTGCCTGTCAAGGCCAGGTTCACGCATTCGACTCTTAGGATTTCATCGACGTCTACCTCCCAGACGGCCCTGAGCCTGCTTTCTACCGTTGCAAGCAGTAGCCGTGCCCAAATCGGACACCCCGATTGATCGCGGAGGATTAACCTCGCTACAAGGCAATCAGACAGGCTCAACACCCACTCGGCCCCCGCAGCACCCTTGCGTCTCGATCCGCCTCGCAGCATTTTTGCCCTGTCTCCTCCAGCTCCTGATTTCCTCAAACTGTCGTCACCAATCCAAGTCAAGCGCGAGGAGATCTCCCTCCAGACCCTGCACCAGAGCCTGAGTCTGAGGAGGGTGAGAGTGAAGAAGGAGTCTCGGAGTCCGAGTCCGCAGATCCTGCTCGGCCCACCTCGCCAACAGCGCTCACCCCCGCGTCAGCAGTCCCTGACGTACGTGACCCCCCCACCGAACTTTCTTTGGTGCTTTCACCGCCAACTCCGCCGAGAGGCTGCTCGAGCACTCGCTCCTCTTGAAGTTCGACCAGCGGAGGGCCACCACAGCTGCCTCCACCCCCGCAGTGTCCTCCATCCCCCCCGATGCCGATAATGTCTTCTCCTGCAACCACCCCCGACAAGGAGACCCTGAAGCTCCTTCTCCCACTCCGATACGATGGCAAGACTGTTATCGAATGCGACAGATTCTTGTCGCAACTCCGTATCTACTGGTTGATCAACACGTCGTTGACAACCATCGAGCTCAAGGTGCAGGTTGCGCTTAGCCTGCTCGACGGAGATGCCCGCACCTGGTCTACTTCATACTTTGCCCAACTCACATTAGTGTAGATGGGTGTACAAGGGGTCACAACCCCCTTCAGGGACGAAGCAGCCTTCACTGCCGCCTTCAAGGCTCACTTCAGTAATCTCGACGATGAGGTGGCAGCACAAGTAGAGCTGGTGAAGCTCTGCACGGACAAATCAGTCCGTGAAAAACGCACTGCTGCAGAATTCTCCGCGCTGTTTAAGGGTCCGGCGGATTGCTCTGGGTATGAGGACCTGGAGCTACGCAACAAGTACCTGAGTGGCATCCCCTCCCGCGTATACCGCAAGATCAAGCTCAAGACCTTCACCACGTGGCAAGCAGCTGAGAAGCGCGCCACTAAGGTCGAACAGATCCTCGACATCAGCTGGGCCCGTTGGCCCAAGCTAAATAACTTCTTCTCGGCCCGAGGTCGAGCACGCGGTGGGGCACGTGGTGGTACACCCCCATCACAAGGAGCTTCGGCCAGCATCAACGCGGCCATCGGAAAAGGAGACTTCCCAGGTGGTTGCTTTGGCTGCGGGAAGCAGGGGTACCGATGCTTTGAGTGCCCCAACTGTAAGGACAAGCCTTACACAAAATGCGCCGATGCGCGGGCTACGGTTGCCTCGGGCTCCACCCAGGCCACGACAAGTGCCCCCGTCATGACAACACCCTCGGCAAGTATAAGTGCCGCTTCAGCAAAATCCGAGCAATCGGAGCTGGGAGACTTAATGGCACAGGTGAAGTCGATGCGCAAGGAGCTCGAGCACTATTGGGCAATGAAGGAGGAGGGTTTTTGATCTGGTCTGCGCTTCGTGCCGCATGCATCGGGCTGAGTATATCTTGTAAGTAAGTATAAC